AGAACTTCCAGGGGCCAGGAAGATGGCTCAGTTGAATAAGTGCTTGCCTGGTAAGCGCAAGGGCCAGAGTTCAATCCCCAGTTCTGCCAAAAAAAAAAAAAAAAAAGACCTTCCACACAGAACTAGAAAATGACAGGTACTCTATTTTTGTAAAACTGACCATCATAACATTTATGGTAGGAACTCACAAAAGAGGTGAGTGGGGGAAAAGATTAGTTTAAACTGTAAAATTAATTTTCCTATAAGCAGGAAGATTCATCTCAGAGCTCCTATTAAACTGCAAATTTTCCCAAACACATTTATATGTATCCACAAAAGGAATGTAACTGTTAAGAATACACTGTACCTAAAACCAAGTAAATGTATATGTAGCAGATAACCTACCTCAACCATTACCTGACTACAGTTGCAGTTTTGCTTTAAGTCTAACTCATCAGGAGACAGCTAAAATGTCAGTGCTTAAGGCTTACTAAAATATTCTAAAATGCCCAAGCTACTGTTTTGGAAAATATATTGTCTTCCTTATAATATGTAAATACTTACCTGTATATTTCCTGCTCTAAAAGCTCTCTGTATTTTTGCAAAAAATCATTAGTTATACTGCCACCATGGGATAGCAAACAATGCTCAATACTCAAACAAGGTTAACAAGAACATGACACCATAGCAGCGTGAGAAAGTTACTGATTCTGCACTGTACTCCACAGGACAATTTCACCTTTCCCACGGTAAAGTTCCTACTGCTGATTATTATCTCACTATTTATCTCAAGGACAAAGGCCAACTATTGTGAGAACAAATATTATACCAACATTTCAGATGTAATTTAGATTATAGCATAGTCAACAGTCTGTAAATAGAAAAAATAATACTCTGGAATCTTACTAATGAGATGTTAATATATTTAAACATTTAATGTTAATAATGGATGTAGAAGTCAGGGAAGTCACTGTCATGAAAAAAATCATTTCAAAGATTTAACCTTTATAAAATCTGGCTAAAGAAAGGTAAAATAACTAGTCATTTTTTCAGTATACATATTATGCACTGAAATAATTGACTTCTAGAGTACAAAAGTTTTATGAGTCTTACTTTTTTTTTTTTTTTGGTGGTGGTGGGAATTGAACACAAGGCCCAGGATATGCCAGGCAAGTGTCCTAACACTGAGCTACAGCCCTAGCCCCAATCTTAACCTTATCAGAAAACTAGATAGTGAGTGAACTTTCTCCCTTAAATATGTACACAAGAACAAACAACTTCTGTATACAACCGGCAAGAAATTCAGATACTGAATGAAAATTCAGGGGGCCGGGGAGATGGCTCAGTGGAATAAGCGCTATCCTGGCAAGCGCAAGGGCCGGAGTTCAATCCCTGGTTCCGCCAAAAAAAAAAGAAGAAAAGAAAATTCAATCTACATATCTAGTTGTAATTCAATCCTCTCATTTTACAGCTGAGCAAACTGAGATAAAAACTAACCTCAAGTTATAGTTTTGCTCCACCACCAGCAAAACCAGATCCAAATAGAATATTAGTCTCTTCATATCAAAGATAGTTTTGCCTGGAATTTCAAAATAATCCAGTGGAGGAAAGGAGGAATAAATGAAGATACAGATGAAAGGAGATTCGCCCAAATTAATAATTGTTGAAGTTCTAGACATAAATTGAGAATATACAATTGACTCTACCTTTGAAAACTTGAAAATCTCAGAATAAAAACTTTAAGCAAACCAAAAGCACAGCGAGATGGCATCATTCTACATGGAAGCTGATGGAGTCAAATTCACAATTTTTCAATGGTCATTATTTAATTGAAGAAAAGTAACAGCAGGATCCCGAAAACCAAACTAAATAAAAACAACCTATCAAAAGGTATTTGCTATGCTAAGCATGGTGGCCCACACCCATAATTCCAGCACTTGGGAGGCTCAGGCAAGAGGACTGCTGTTAAGTTCAAGGCCAGCCTGGGCTACAGAGTCCAAGCCCAACCTGAACCACTTAGCAATACTCTTTAAAAGAGAAGGAAAGGAAATGTATAGTAGACCTACTATCTACTAGAAAATGATGTCCTAGATTAAGCAAAATCTAGGTTGATAATCTTTTTTTTTTTTAGATAATCTTACATACCAAAAAATTCTACAGAATTAGAACAAATTTAACAAAATTATAAGCTGCATGATAAAGACCAAAAAATCAATTTCTATACAATACCAATGGCCAAACCAAAAAATGAAATTAAGAGGACAACGCCATTCAGAACACTACCAAAAGAATAAAATACTCAGAATGTCCTAAAAATTCAGTAAATTTGGCTACACTGTCAAAAACACTTTTCACATCTGTAATACACTACTTCAGCGGCTGACACAAAAGTACCTCTTGAGCCCAAGGAGTTGGGGCTATTTTATGCAATACAGAAAAGACCTTCACCTAAGTGTAAAAATAATAATGATAATAATTTTGATCACATACTTTCTACAACTCATTGGAGCAGTTCTCACATACCTTTACATTTTCTTGGATTTCTTCTTGTTTCTGCTTCATACTGGGATTCATGATACACCTGTTGAAGCAAAAAAGACTAGTATTAGAAAACAGAATATGGTTTGCACCTGAGGTGAACCCGAGTTTTTATTTTTATTGAAAATATTAGGCCAGGCCTGATGGTGCACGCCTGTAATACCAGCTCTGGGATGGGTGAAAGGAAGATCACTGTGTTCCAATTTGGCTTTGGTTACAAAGTGAGTTCAAGGCCACCCTGAACTGTATTGGGAAACCTCATGTCAAAAAAAAATAAATAAATAAATAAAACGTTTATACTCTTAAACAAAAAAACATACTACTGTACTGTAGACTTATGTTTTCCTAGAAAGTGCCCTGAAATGAATACAGGGATCTAAAAACTCTGAGAAATGGGCATCATGAAAAACACAATAGGCACTCTCATATCCCCAGGCTATCCTAAGAGAACCAATGCTGCTGCTTCAAAGGCAGACTTAACTTGCTATCTAAACTTGGCAGTGGAGATTACATAATAGCCACTTAATCTTCAGTCACCTGAGATTATACATTTATATCAACAGGAAATTTCTAACCAACATCAACTGAAGGACTAAACAGGACACAAAAAGCTATGTATTGTGGTTAAGTTGACCACGGGCTACACTCAGTGCTCACTCAAGGTCCAACCCCCTAGTTTGTCTGTGTCATCTAACAGATGTCTCTGATTACTGTGTTTGCAGTTTCATTCAGTGCAGTGTTTTTAAATTTCTATGACTCACGTCCTACACGAGCACATTAACACTATGCGCTAGCACACAGCACGTAGATACAAACAAAAAAACTCAATAAGTAAAATTTGTGTGTGGCGTGCTGTAATTTCCATTCTATACGCTGGTCAGCACCCACTAAATGGAGCTCGTGTGTTGTTTTTCAAAACATGGGAAGCTGCCCAAGATCCCAAACTCATCTAGTGAGTCATGAATAACATTGTTTAAAACAGTGCAACTTAACAGACTGGGAAAGAAGAGACCCGAAAATTCCTGGTGAGGGCCAGGGTTATAGCTCAGTGGCACAAGCACTTGCCCGGTGAGCACAAGTTCCCGAGTTCAATTCTCAGCATCAAAAAAAAGAGAAAATACTGGGTGAAACTTGCATTTAACAAGATGGCTGTACCCTAGATTATGAAATAAAATGCCCTTTAGTGTTTAAGAAACTAAAGGCCACTAGGCAATGAAGTTTACTCCTCGTTGACCACACGCAGGTCTGTAACCCTGAACTCTCACTTGTTTTTCAAACCCCATTTCTTTTACACACCTAGATTAAAAACCTCAAGGGGCAGGGGAGATAGCTCAGTAAAATAAGTGCTTGCCTTGCAAGCGCAAGGGCCTGAGTTCAATCCCTGGTTCCGAAGGGGGAGGATCTCTAGCATGGGCCGGTGTCCAAAAGAAGCGCTGGATACAGGAAAAACCAGCATCTGTCTCCAAAGCCCTATCCTTTTAACTGAGATGCGGCATCCCGTGTCCTTGCCCCGAAGCTAAAAGTGCAGACCTCCCCGCCCCCCATATCGCAGAAGTACAGGTCAGATCGCCCGCCGCGCCCAACCAAGACCCGGGAGCCAAAAAGACAGCGCCCCGCCCCCCCCCCCGCGCGGTGCACCAATAGAGAGCGCGGGACGCCAGAGCGCGCCAAAACCGACCCAGCCAATGGGGCGGCCCCTCGTCTCACCACCCTCCCCGCGGCTCCCGCGGCTGTTCAGCAAGCACTCGCCCCGCTCTGGCCGCTGCCCTGCAGCCGCCCACCTACGACTCGGGGCAGGCAGCGTGAGACAGCGGGGTGTCTAGGCGCCGAACACCTCACGCCCTGAGACCCCACCTCCTGCCCGCGTCCTCTCACTTACTCTTCAAATGCTGTCTTCGTACCGTGAGTAGGCAGCGGTGGCAGCAGCGCCTCGCACAAGGCCCACAGACCACCTCGGTCGTCCCGCAATCACCAGACTGACTCTCGTGCGAAGAAAGACCGGCTGACTAAAGCTCGCCCTCTCTGAGACCAAGGCGCCACCACAGACGCAAGGTGAGGGGCGGGCTTCTGAGATCCGACCAATCGCCTCCCAGCGCTGCCGTCTTGGCCACGCCCCTTCCTGCGCCTGCGCAATAGGTGGTAGTGGGTCCGGTTTGAGGGCAGGCGCGCCCGGGGAGTGCAGGGGCTGTGAGGTCAGCAGGGGCTGTGAGGTCAACAGGGGCTGTGAGGTCAACAGGGGCTGTGAGATCAGCAGGGGCTGTGAGATCAGCAGGGGCTGTGAGGTCAGTGCCCTCTGACCCCGCCCTCGGACTTCCTTTCTGGGGCGGAGCCTTAGCGCTTCGCTGCGGTTTGAGGTGCGCTGCTGCGAGATGCAGACCCCGGGAGGACGGAGTACTGTATGTATGCGCGTAATGATATGTTTCTGGTTTTGTTTAGGAGAAATGCATAAAACACGGAAATATATTTTTTGATAAAAGATAATATGTAATTTTATATTTATGTACCAAAAATATTATGTGCCGATATACATAAATAACTAAACTGTAATAAATATAGTTACATAAGTAAATATGTAAAATATAGAAATATATAAAGTCTAAATTGAAACAACACACTGATTGGACAACTGGGTCAGAAGACTGTATTTCCAGAAAAAAAAAAAAGGCTGCCAACCAGGGTTAAATGTAAGCGCTAAGTTATTTGACTTTGAGGTACCAGCTGGGGAAAGCCGTGGCTGACTTCCAGGGTGTCCCTTCACCAAACGTGGGTTGCTGACAGAATATTGAACCTGGCCGGGGGGAGCCGATTCCCATAGCGCTAGCGCAGGTCAGGGATGGCCCATTATTTTAAAAGAACGTCTGAAATATTTCCAGATAGCCTGGACTAAGTAAAATATAAGCAAAGTACAAAGTGTTATTTCCTTATAGAACTAAAACGCTAGGAAAATATCTTCCATATGAGAGTAGTAAGCAAAGTGGAAGTGGAGAATCTGCGGGGTTACCATAAGCAACACCTTAATTATACGAGGAGACCTGGCTATTGGCCCAGATTTAAGAAGCTGAAATGTCCCAAAATCCAACACACCCAAGCAGGCAATGCCTTCTTTGGAATCCCCTAGAGTCTGAAAGAGGGATGTCAGCAGCTTAGGTTGTATCCCTTTGCTTTGTCTGCCAGATAACCAACTCATTTGTATGAGAGGGTACTTCAAACCTCTGTGCTGCCCAGTAGGGAAGTCCTTAGCCACACAGGCTCCAGAACACTTGGAACGTGGCTGACTTCACTGCAGGTTTTCTAATGCAGACTCCATGAGCGGTACCACACAAATGTAAGGTATGGCTCAGTGGCAGAGCACTTGCTAGGCATTGTGACACCCTCAGTTTGATTCCAGGCCCCCCAAGGGAATGGATCATCTTTAAAGATTTTACGTTGGTTATGTATTGAAACTATTTTTATATACTCAGACAAATACATATGTTACTAAAATAAGAAATTTAATGAAATATATTTTAAAAATAATAAAATAAAATTTTTACTGGTTTCTTTTTCCTTTTTTATATATAGCTACCACAATAAAACAGCTGAAAGATGTGGCCCACACTTGCCCTGTGCATTAGTGCTACGTGACACAGCTGATCCAAGCTGCTGCAATGTGCATTATTTCATGGGATGCTCTCGAAGCCCAGCAGCTGTTGTACACAGCTAGAAAAACTATACCATGAGGCAACAGCAAGTTGATTTGAAAACATTTCACTCTCGAGAGACATAGGGGCTAGGGAGATGGCTCAGTAGAATAAGTGCTTGCCTGGCAAGGGCAAGGGTCTGAGTTCAATCCCCAGTTCCTCCAGGAAAACAAAAACAAAAACAAAAAAAAATGAGAGAGCCATAGGACCAGCCCAGCAAGATAGCTCAGCGGACTAAGCACTGCTTAGGCAAGCACAGGGACAGTGGTTGCACTGGCCCACCTCCCAGGCATACTAAGCAGGCTACCAAGACTGTGCATGGTGGTGCACACCTGTAACCCCAGTGCTAGGGAGGCTCAAGCAGGAGGATCACTGTGAGTCTGAGCTGCATAGTAAGACCCTGTACCAAATACATAAAAAAGAGAGAGAGGACCTTCAAGGCCCAACACTTGTAAAACTTAAACTTTCCTATTAGTTTTGAAGAATAAATTATTATTATTATTATTTTTTTTTTTTTTTTTTTTTTTTTTTTTTGGCGGAACCAGGGATTGAACTCAGGCCCTTGCACTTACCAGGGAAGTGCTTATTCTACTGAACCATCTCCCCGGCCCCATGAAGAATAAATTTTTAGGGAAATAATTTTGCAGAGATCAGAAAAAAGCTACATTATCATGGAATCAGAATATATCTGTGCTGAGTACAGGGGCACACTACTGTATTTCCAAGCTATGTGGGAGGCTGAGGCAGGAGATGGCAAGTTTTAGGGCAGCCGAAGCAACATAGCACAACCCGATGTCAAAGCAAGATATTTTTCTAGGCACTCAAATATACCTGTGTTTTATTTACAGTAAGGGAAGTATGAGTACTGATGCTTAAGTTATTCAGCAATACAGATTCATCTAAAATCCTTTAGGATAATTTATAGTATGCAACTTATATATGTATTATGGGATATTTTTCCCTAATATTGTCATTCATCCAGTTGTGGCTAAGCACAAACTCCATGGTTGTGCATTGCTGGACTATTCTTATCTCAGCCAACAGCATTTCTAGTTAGTTTGTAAACAATATGTAAACAGGGAAAGGGGGAAAAGCCCACAATCAATTGTGATAATCGAAACATAAAACAGTCATTCAGCATAGAGTAAGGCATGATAAATTGAGCTGCTTATGGAAAACAATAGAACCAGATGAGATGACAGAGAATAAATGTACCATGTTAACATGAGTTGTTAACATTGAGGCTAAACTAAATTCCTAAGACTTTCAGTCAGATTGGAGAAATTACCTATTACATGATAATCCCTCCTGAAAACTGTCCTGAGAGAACAAATAACAATTTTTTTTTTTAATTTTATGTATTTGGTACACTGCTCGGCATCCAAGAGGCGGGGCCGGCAAGGTATGCAGTGCCTGGGAGGGAACTGGGGTCCTTGCACTTGCCTCGGCAGGTGCCTCGACCACTGAGCTATCTCCGCAGCCCAACAATTCATTAATTCCTTATTTGGAAGACTCACATAGGAGCATGTGTAAAGTCACCTATTTCTCCAAGTCTGAATTGCACTCAGTTTAATCTAGCTCTTACTGTATTAGTATTTAAGGGGATTTTTTATTTTCAGTTTTCAGTGCAGTGAGTACTGACCAGAAGAGGTTTGTTATTTACAGAGGACATATTTTAGTCTCACAATGGTCATGTGCATAAAGACACTGCCAAGTTTTCACAGTGGTCTGTCACTGCTCTTTTATAAAACAAGTACATTCCAAACTTTTCTTTTTTTTTCTTTGGCAGAACCAGGGATTGAACTCAGGCCCTTGCGCTTGCCAGGGAAGCGCTTATTCCACTGAGCCATCTCCCCGGCACCCCAAACCTTTCTTATCTTTCATTTTTTTGTTTGTTTATTTTTTAAACCTATACCATTGCTGAAAGGATTTAGGAAAGAATTGTGAGATTCATATTGGTGATTATACAAAAGAAAATTGTTTTTGCTTTTTCGCTTTTTTGTTTTGTTTTGTTTGCAGACAAGCTCTCCCTATATAACCCAGGGTGGCCTTGAATTCACAGTACTTCTCTTGCCTCAGCCTCCTGAGTGCTAGGATTTGCGTGTGCGTTTGTTAATAATGAATTGGCTCATGTGATTATGGAACAGGTAAGTCCACAATCTGCAGAGCCAGTGTCCTAGTTTGAATCTGGAGACTACAGAACCAGAAAAGGCTAATGTTCCTGTTTGATGTTCATCAGCAGGAAAAACTTATTTTTCAGATCAGAAGCCATCAGGCAGTAGAATGCTCTCGTTTGGGAGTAAGGGGATATGGAGCATCAGTTTTTGTTCTACTAGGGCCTCCGTGGACTGGATGAGATCCACTAACGTTATGGAAGAGTCTTCTTTATTCTGCTCTTTTAAACTTTACCATTGTTTAGATCTAAAATGTCCCCCCAAAGTTCCATGTGTTCAGATGTGGGGCTTCTGGATGGTGATTGGATCATGGAGTACTGTACTTAGCAAGTAGATGAATCGATTGAAGAGTTGGGTGCTGTTGGGAAGCAGGGCCCAGTGGGAGGCGGTGTGTTACTGGCAGGCCTTTAGAGGCCTGATCTCTTGATCAGCTCTTTCACTGTCTTCGCTTCTGGCTACCATGGGTGGAGCAGCTTTTCTTGTCCAGGCCTTTCTGCCTTGGCGTTTCTGTCTTACAGCTAACTGAACATAGACTGAGCCCTCTGAAACTGTGAGTCAAAATAAATCCTCCTTTTCTTAACTTGTGGGTGTCATGGACTTTATCCCCCTGATGGCAAAGCCAATACAGATAGAAATCCAAGATTACAGAGAACCCCAAAGTAATATTTGACCAAATATGTGGGACTCTGTGCCTCAGTCAACTTGACACATAAAAATA